TCACCTCAGCCTCCCAAAGGCGCGGGATGACAGGCTGAGCCACCGAGCCCGGCTTTATTCCTTTTTTTTTGAGTTGGAGTCTCACCCTGTCACCCAGCCTGAAGTGCGATGGCATGCTCACGGCCACCCCCGCATTGACCCGCTGGGCTCTGGCGATCCTTCTGCCTCAGCCCTCTAAGTAACCGGAACTACAGGTGCGTGCTACCACACCAGCTAATTTCTGATTTATGGTAGAGATGAGGTCTCGCCAAGTTGCCCGGGCTGGTCTTGAACCCGTGGTCTCAGGCAATCCACTCGCCTAGGCCTCCCAAAGTGCTGGGATGACAGGCTGAGCCGCTGAGCCTGGCCAAAATTTTTATTTATTTATTTTTTAGAAAGCAGGATTTCTTGAGAGGACAAAAAAGCTACCACAGTGGGAGAGGACCCGAAGGGGTTGCCCTTTTTTTTTTTTTTTTTTAATTTTTTAAATTTACATTTTAAAGGCAAAGGATTCTGTCATCAAGTAACTCCCTTGTAGAGATAAAAACATATTAGGGATCACAGCAGCACTGTTCATGATTGCTACAAACTGAAAACAATCCCATAGTAGGATGCATGAATGGCTTGAGGAATATTCATAAACTGGAATAATACATAGCAATGAGAATGATCAGTCAGCAACTGCAGTCAGCACCATGGATGAGGTTCACAGAGTTGAATAAAAGAAGCCAGGCAGCAGAGAATATATACTGCATGATTCCATTTCTACAGTACACAGAGAGGCAAAAGTAACTTGTGGCCTTGGGAGGTAATGGTAGTGGCTACTTTTGGGGAGTATTGCCTCCCTAAGCAGAAGGGAATGTTGTTTGTCATCGTCTGTTTCTACATCTGGTGCCAGTTACAGCTGTGAGTCCAATTTGTATGCATTCTTTTTTTGAGTTGGAGTCTCACTCTGTCACCCAGGCTGGAGTGCAGTAGCATGCTCACAGCCAACACAGCCTCAGCTTGCTGGGCTCAGGTGATCCTTAGGCCTCAGCCTTCCAAACAGCTGGAACCACAGGAGGGTGCCACCACACCTAGCTAATTTTTTTTATTTATTGTAAAGACGAGGTGTCTCCAAGTTGTCCAGGCTGGTCTTGAGACCCTGGGCTGCTCAGGCAATCCTCTCACCTCAGCCTCCCAAAGTGCTGGGATTACAGGCTACCACACGTGGTCGGTATAAAAGTTAAAGGGCTGGGTGTGGTGGCTCACACCTGTAATCCCAGGACTTTGGGAGGCTGAGGTAGGAGGAATGCTTGAGGCCAGGAGTTCGAGACTAGCCTGGGCAACATTGCGAGATGAGTCTCTACAAAAATTTAAAGAACAGCCGGGCACGGTGGCACATACCTGTAATTCTAGCTACTTAGGAAGCTGAGGTGGGAGGGTCACTTGAGTCCAGGAGGTCGAGGCTGTAGTGAGCTGTGTTTGTGCCACTGTACTCCAGCCTGGCAACAGAGCAACACCTTGTTTTTTTGGTTTTTTGTTTTGTTTTGTTTTGTTTGGTTGGAGTCAGGGTCTCACTCTGTTGCTTAGGCTGGAGTGGAGTGGCATGCTCACAGCTCACCTCGACCAGACTTGACCTCCTGAGCTCAAGTGATCTTTCCTCCTCAGCCTCCCACCAAGCAGCTGGTGCTACAGGCAAGTGCCACCACACCTGGCTAATTTTTTTTTTTTTTGTAGAGATGAGGTCTTGTTATGTCGTCCAGGCTGGGGACCCTGTCTCTTAAAAAAAAGTTAATAAAGTATTAGTACAGGAGAAAGTTACATAAGCCCTTTCTACTTTTCTTCATTGTTTCTATTTCTGAATCCATGAGTTTCTGAAAGGTCCAACTTTCTTCTTTAATAACAATAATAACGCAAAGGCACTGGGTGCCAGTGACGAGGGCAAGGCTTGGTGAGGGAGGTGGGAAGGAAAGCACATCCCCCTAGAGCTGGGCCTGGGGCGGGGGTGAGAGCCAAACAAGCTGACCTGAAGGTCTCTGCAGGTCCGAGTGTCCTGTGCTCCTCCCGCCATCTCTTTCCCCAGGTGTTCTCATTCACAACTGCACCGTCACTGCCAATGCCGAGTGCACGTGCCCCGATGGCTGGCAGTGCAGGGACAAGGAGTGCACCGAGTGTGATCCTCCTGCAGGCTCCCAGCTGGCTGCCCGGCCACCTCAGGGCCCAGGCCCGCACCCTCCACCCACCCACTCACCTTACGGCAAAAGTAAGTTCCCGGCAGCCTTCTGTCCAATCGCTCCGGGCAGGGTGCCACCCCAACCGGTTCTGCCCGCCCATCTCAGAGCGCATGCCCGATGGGGCTCCCCGCCGCCACTCCGTCTGTCTCTGTTTTCCCAGAGGTGCCGGAGGCCGGGACAGGCGGGCACGTGCAGACGCCGGCTGATCTCAGGCAGCTGCCGGCCACGGCCCACCCTACCCGCTGGCCTCGTGAGTTTCCTCCCGAATCCCCACCCCCAAGGGGATGCAGGCAGCAGAGGCCAGGCGGAAGCCAGCCAGAAGAGCCTAGGAGAAGGGGTCCCGAGAGTGGGGATCAGAGTCTAGGGGTTAGGGGCGGGCTTGGCCCAGGGGTGGGGCGGGGCGAAGAAGCCGGGGGCAGGGGAGAGGCCAGAGGGCCGGGCGGGCTGTGCCAGGGAGCCAAGCGCCGGGACGCCCCAACCCCCGCGCGGGCCCTGCCTGTCGCAGCCCAGAGGTCTCTGTGCAGCTCAGACTGCGTCCGCATCGTCGTGACCCTGTCCGGCCTGCTTCTGGCTTTCAGCCTGGGCGGAGCCCTGTTCTTCCGCCCGCAAAGAAAACACCCATCCGGTAAGGGGCAGAACCCAGGTCCCGTCTGCCCGCGCCCCCTGCTCCGCCTGCCGCCCGCGCACGGACG